AATGAATATTTCCTGAGTACTCACTGAGTAACAATACTCAGAAATTGTTAGTAGTACCAATATGAGTACTCATGGACGAATTATGAGTAAAGTCGTACTCATCGTATGAGTACTTTCACTAGGGTGAGAACGAGTGTCTGACTCGAACGAAAAAACACAGTGTGAAAACTTAAAGAAAAAAAGAATTTTTTGTAGTGAAATAGAATAAGCCTCTCCGAGTTTCACTCGATCGACTTAAATTCACTAAAAAATAAGTTTTTTGACTTAGTTTGTAGAGAACTTTGCGCTCCTTCTAACCGTGTTCTCATTGTTCCAGATATCTGTCTGTAGCAGGGCTCGAACCAGGCCAGGCTACAAATTGTTGGCCTGTACCAGGCTAAAAGCACATCAGGCCTAGACTGAAATAGATCCAGGCGGACCTCTAAAAACACCAGGCAGCCTGGTGTATGAAATTTACGTATTTTTATTCAAAATTTAGCATTTCGGCTCACTAAATCCTGACACGGTTGAGAAGGTCAGTCAGATCTAAACATTACAGGCCTGATGCAAGCAGACCAGGCCTTAAAAGTGTCGACCTGTTTCGAGCCCGGGTCTGTAGACATACATAATAGGTCACAAAACTGACGCATTTTCTCATTTCCGTTTGTTACAAAAACATAGGTATTTTATTTCTCTCTCTAAACGTTCCTCACGTTTTTATTGTCGAATCATATCATGTAAAAGTACGTTGGAAGCCCTATTTTCTTTTAGAGTGAACATTTGTCTGGTGGTTGTACAATAGTTATACGATCATTTTTTGGACATGAACTGGAGTGCACTGGTGGAGACAAAAGTGCCCCAATACACAATCGAACACGCTCCTTCACATGGTAAAGTCAGATTTGCTCTCTTTCAACCTTCATACTGCCGCAAAGAGGTGGACCGTTATGTGGCCACGCCGGGCAATAAGAAACCACTTGCTCTTGTTTATTTGTTTACCAAACTCTCGTTCGAATTATTTTTGTTAGGGTTAACGTCTGAGCAATTGGAATCTAGTATTTGACTCCATCAGTGCTATCTACCGTTTCTCTTTTAAATGCGTTATAAAACTGCCTTATTTGCAGAAGAAAAAATAGGACAAAAAGCTTTTTTCTGTCCTGTCCTGCAAGTCAGCAGGACAGGGTTGTGTTGTATTTCTCAGTTCTGGATCAATATTTAACTGCACTTTGATCTCAAAAATAAAAGTGATAAAGACTGACGTCTTTTGGTCCATTTACTTGTGAGTTATACTGATAAGGTTATGTTTGCCGTATGTAAAGCATTGAGCATTCACACTTGGGCTTTCAGAGAATGTCTAATCTTCTTAGTTCCCCATAGGCACAGAGTCGAACTGTGCTTCAGTCAGATGTTCCTCCACATCTTTCCAAGATAATACATCAAGTCTATCTCCTTCAAGATATCTCCTTCTGTACATGCTCAGTCAAAGTGATTGTGTTAGTTCTCGAAATACAAATGCACAGAAGTGAGAAAATGTACCCAAAGGTTGACGCCTGCACAAATGTAAGTGTCCTTGGTATAAGATCGTTTTATCATCGGTGGCTTTCAGAATGTAGCAAAGATCACTTCGGTTCTGTTTGATGCACAGAGGATTGGGTGCCAAGGTATATCGTTTCACGCATCGGCTCTAGCAACGAATTGTTCGAGCGCCGATATCCACGGATAGAAATTCTCTATTCTCTGAAAGTCCAAGTGTGAATGCTCAATGCTTTACATACGGCAAACATAACCTTATCAGTATAACTCACAAGTAAATGGACCAAAAGACGTCAGTCTTTATCACTTTTATGTTGAGATCAAAGTGCAGTTAAATATTGATCCAGAACTGAGAAATACAGCAAGGAAGAACTTAATTGATCTGTGTAAGAAATCTTTCTCAAAAGAAAACTTGTCCAAAACTCGGATAGTTCAACATTATGATTAGCGAAATAGGACATGTTTAGATAAGAGAACAGAGAGTCGAATTTTCTGTGTACTTCTTCTGAATTTACGATTTGACTCTCTATCCACACTGACTTTTCCTTCTCAGATGAGATTATGACAGGATAAAAGCATCGTGTGCTCGACGAAAGCATTAAAATCTGACTGCATCATGTTCTCGAAGAAAAGTCCGAATAAAACATAGTGGAATCAAACCTAGAAACCAAAAGGATGGCTGAAAAAATGTGACACTAGTGCTTGCCGGTGCCGAGCCAGTGCAACATAGAGTGTCGTGAGCACTGGTAGTGGAGGTCTTTTTTTAGTGCTGTACTGGAACTCTTTTTTTTAGCGAAGTCGTAAGAAACTTGTAAGAATCTTACAAGAATGTGATAACACTTTTATAAGAATAACGCATGCGTTCTGCCTATTCTTATCAATTTCTTATGAAAGCCTATGCGAATCTTATAAGTAAGATTCAGCGGAATTCTTGTCCCTTTCATGGAAGATCTTATATAAGAATTGAATAAGATGTTCAAAAGATTCGTAGTTAGTACCTCTAAGATGCTTACGTGTCTGTTACAAGTATCGTGTCTAAGTCTTTTACAAGAACGGATGACTAGGGTGGTTGAACAAACTTTTAAAAGTGTTCAAGCGATTTAGCATATGTAGACTAGCAGCTAGATATGATGGCCGACTGAGCGAATATCGTATCAGATTCTCACTCAAACTAAATCAAATCGACGTTTAATACTTCTATATTATAATTGCCGCTGTTTTGTGGATATTTCGATAATTCTAATAAATCACGAAGACATGACAACAATCACGTTCGATCCTTGTTTAAATACAAAACGAAATTTCTTTTATTAAAAATAAAAAAAATGCAAGATATAAGAATATGATTATATGCGCTGAAACCCATTTCAGGCTGAAAGCTTTACTGTGTAGCGTGAAAATAGAAATAATTTATCCGTTCTCCAATATTTATCTTTTGTCCATTGAAGAAAACAAGAAGCTTTTTTTCAAGTGAAAAAAGTCATTTAAACTGCAAAATGCGGCAGACTGAGTAAATACTATTATAACTGTAAATTAATTACGTTTAATGTTTTATGAAGTTTAAATGTCTTGTTATGTCAAAACGTTTCCTTTTTTTTCTTTTTATTCCACTTTCAGTTCGACGAACGAAAACACAGAAAACCAGCAAAAAAAACAAGCGATCACATAGAGAGAATAGATAAGTCTATTAACGATAGAAATAAAACAGATACTTTCTATCAAAGAAAACATGATAGAGAAATAAACAAAAACAAAGAATATTATTTCATTTAACTACCATAGTAAAATTTCATCTACAGTGTTTCACGTACAAATGGAAATTCTACCCAATAAGAAGTTTAACAACACATAAAATTATTAACATTTAATTTCATTTACTGCAGAGAAGAGTAAGAAAAGAGTGACAAATAAACACACAAAACAAACGCAAAAAAAAGAACAAGCATAATCTTATTCGATGAATACTGTACACCAAATTCATTTTGTTTTTTATGCAGATAAAGAAGATAAGTATCTGACACTATAAAAAGAAACGTCCATCCATAAGATCTGCACACACTCATTAATATCTGGCTAATTATTGTTCTATTAGACAATTACTTGGTTATTTTCAACAATATTTTAAAATTCAAATTGCCACCATTGTGTATGAGAATAGTGCGATGGTTTTAGAAGTCGAATTTCACCAAATAAAGGCTAAAAAACAGGGAGAAATGATTTTTAAAACTAATATTATTAATTAGAAAGAAACAATATTACAATCAGTTTTTTTTCTAGATAATACATTACTAAACAAAGTTTTATACCAAAAAAGACTACGAGTACACAAAGTCTAAGAGTTTATCTAATAGGATTTTCTTTTTATTACTTACATCATATTGATGAATAGGTGATTGTCTTGGACGAATTGAGATACCATTTCGTGTTAGCATTGTACCATTTATTTGTTCTGTTAATTTCATCAATGGATCGATGTATACTCCTGCTTGATCGCCAAATATTCTAACACGGGTTCCCGTTTCTTTTTCACTTAATCTATAAAAAAAATAACATCCACTCTTTACTCTTTATTATAACTAATATATGTTCAACTTACTCGGCGATGAAATTTTTTCCAATTCCATAATGCTCAGTAAAATAAAAATTTTTTGTCTCATTTACTGCTTGTTCAGTATTAAATGGCACCGATTTGTAGTGATTATTTCCCGCATCATTAACATTTTGTGGATCTACAAAACGACTGGCATTCACTCTTAAATGATGAGTTGACATATCACCATAACCACGTAAATTGAAATAAACATAATTTGTCATATCCACCAACAATTCACGATCATCGTTCATTGGATAGGCTATGTAACTGATAACTAATTCATTATTTGGGAGTAATTCATAAATTACTTCAGACTGATGTTGTTTTGGATAGACAAATCGTACACGATTTGGATTTTCCTGATCAACATGCATTTCCCAGTTTTGTTCACTTGCATTGAAAAATGGATAATCCGATGGTAATTTATAACTATCACCATGAATAAATTCCGGGTCAAAACGAACAGAACCAAATGGAATCGATGATGTAGCATAATTATTAACATGTAAAACAATTGATCGATAATTATCACCACGACTATTCGATCGATGTGGAATGAGAATATCATGAATTTTTGCACCGCGGCGACCCAATATAACTGTGAAATTATTTCGTGTCAGATTATAATAAGGTGCAGATATTGGTTCATTCCATTGATCATCTTTTGCTATGTATGTTGGATAAATTGTTGAACGTTGATCATATTTACCATTGAGCTTAAAATGAAAAGATCAACATCATTTTCTAGAGTCAGAAAAACATGAACCTACACAAATATAGATAGAAATCTGTACTGAAACTTTTCCGACTTATAAATCACTTGGTTTTTCGTTGATCAGTATGAACTGATCATTCGGTTTTAAAACATAACAAAAACAATTTATTCTAGTTTAAACAGTTTATATTTACACCTAAAGCTTATAAACGACACGCCTCATCTGTATATACAATACATATGGAAAATACTGTTTATAATCTAAAATTATACGTTAAACAGTTTGCTTTCGGCAAGTGTCAGCTTATTTTCTGCTGATGAATAGTTGATTGTGAATGAACAGTGACCAGACAAATGTCTGGTATGTTTACGATCTTCTTTCTTTTAGTAATATATATAAAGTCTGATTGTTTCTTTAACAATATTTATCATTATCTACTTTCCGTCAATCTATTATCATTATTGTGCTGATACATCATTATTATAATGTGTATTTAGTAAAAAGTTTTCTTAAAATATGGAGCTGTATGAGTGTGTGTATCTGTACTATCCAATTACTTTTTATGCATGGTTGCATTTTTTTTTCTTTTTACAATAACACTTTTGTTTTTGTTGGCAGATTAAGATAATTGAAGAAATGACAGGTATTTGAAACATCCATTTTCATAATTAGTACCATACACTCCTATATTGATCCTACCATCTTATTAATTATATACAAGATATTTAGATATATCGATGTTGATAGACATTTGTTTGTCTTTTAGACAAAACAAACTCATGCAGAAAAGATATATTAATATGAGCACATTCGAATTGAAAGATAAACAGAAGTATCTAAAAGTTTTGAAATACTCATTATATATACTAAAGTATTTGCTCATCTAAATTCCAACTATATGGAATATTCTACTCCAAATTAGCTCTTATTAGAGTAGAATATTCCCTTTCTTGAATTTTGAAGTCAATGTCTAACGGTTATATTGTTATAAAAAAACCTTTACTGAACATTGTAAATCATACAAAACCGGAAGGTGGAGATTATCCGTTTTTTTTCTTTCTCTTTTATACCAGTAGGGATCAATGACATTCGTTTTGTTCCTACAGATAGTTGAACATTAAACGTATGCATAAACACTGTTTTATATTATGTATATACTCAATATTGAATAGGTACATGTGTATGTGTTGTTAATACTTTCGAGTTAAGCTATTGTAAACAAAGAATTAAATCTAGAGACTGTAAAAGGAAAAAGAACGTTAAACGATTACATTCAAACTACTACAACTGATTTTTGATAATAATACACTGTTTCAAAACTTCTTTTTAGAATAATTTCACTTTATTTACCAAGTGATTAAATCTGCTACTAGTTTGTATACCGATACGATTAATTTAAAAATACTTTGTCATAACAAATAAAATGAACTGAAAAGAAATATGACGCCTCTCTTAATTAAAAAATGTTTAAATTTCGAATTAAGAATTGTGATAGGTATGGCCTTCTCGACAAAATAATAATCGAAAAAAAAACAATATTGGCCTTTTCTCGTTCGAATTTTTCTTTGAAAATCGATGGTTACAATCGATTTTGTTGTACTAAACAGCTTAGTTCATTCTTATATTGCAAACAATTATTCGCGTTTAAGAAGTTATATCGTTTTAGAAAGAAATATATAAATACTTTTCGGCTAGTAAACTAATTTTTTAGGTAAACAATTTGAACTCTGTTCATTTTTTCACCCAATCAAGATTTTAAATAGAAAAACTGTTAGTCATACCTTTTCGATATTGGCAATAATATACGCTAATGCAACAAGAAATAATGCAAAACATAAAATAGCAAGAAATAAACATAATTTGTTTAATGTTGTACAACATGAACGAGATTTTTCATTATGATTATTTTCATCATCATATTTTTCAACGATATTCATTGAGTGTAAATTATTATGACCATTTGGAACATCGTTAAGTATTTTTTGTTCATGAACATCTCCATTTGTATACGTTGGTGGTATGGCATTTTTATAAGAGAAATCAATATGCGCTTCAACATTACCATCAACGACAGTTTGATTCTCATGTCCACCATTAGGAATAGGAGTGAGTGGTTGTGAAACAAGATTATCGATTGTACTATGTGTAGGTGATGTTGAATGATTCGGCGATATTGGTCGTGGATTTAGTGGATTTCCACCAGAGTGTACATTTAATTCATTTGATGATTGTGGCAACATATTTGCTGACATTAATACAACACTGTCATTATCCATCTCAAGTATACGAAACGAATTTGATGTGATAGGATAAGAATAGGATTTTTGAAATTATACACACGCTACGTGATGAAATTTCTTTTCTGAATATCTAGAAGAAAAAAGAAAAGAATTCGGATGTCTTTGAGAATGCATACACACTTCCTTTGTTGTATAACGGACGGACGAAAGAGAGAAAGAAAGAAAAGAGAAAAGAATAAATGACCGGTATAAAAAGAGAAAAACAATTTCTATAATAAATTTTCAAGGAGAAGAAGACAAGAGCAACTGTATCATACAAACTGTCTAATTTTGAAAAGTATATATACTGAAGAGAGTGAGAGAGAGAGAGAGAGAAAGAGGAAGAACGAATCTTTCAATATAAATATCAAACAGAAGGATGAGGATGAACTTCGAACGTTTTCGCGGTCACTAACAACGGACGGGTCTTCCACATATTTTAAGTGGCATTATAACAATAAACTTATGTTTTTCTTTCCTATTCTATTTAATTTTTTTGATTTCCTAATGGAACAAATACATGTTCAGATAGAAGTTATGTGAAAATTGAGAAGGAATTGGGAGAAAAGTCACCCAAAACTAAATGAGCGTGTATATATATGTGTGCGTGATACGATATTCATATACACACATCATTTATCAAAGAAGAAAGAACTTTAAAGGATTCTTTATAAAATTGAACGATAACTGGATAATATATTTGATCTTATACCATTCATGATTAGTTTATAGAGATAAAAATCTAAAGTAACTGTTCTCCTTCAAATAGACAAAAGGAAAAAACGTGCTAAAAAGCCTATTTTGTAATACGTGATGCATTGAACTTCTATACATGTTGCTATCTAATTATAGAGTACTTGATGACGTAAACATTTTTTATATGTGAAATTTGTTGTTAAATAATATATATTTCACTTTAGCTGCCTATGTGTACTTTTACAAATCTAAATACATAGTGCTAACATTTACTGTTTATTCAATGTTTTGATCTTTTTGAAAATAGTATTGAATAGAATAGAATAGTATTCTTCCAATTTTATAGGACTCTATAGATTTGAAATCTATTGAATTTTTTCATTGGATCTTTTATTCTACTGTAGCTTCAACTAGTTTTAATGACTACATAATTACATCAAAAATTTTGTCAATTTCATTTTATGGTTTAAGATATGGAGACAAAGATCACTTTTAATTCTGAAATTATTCCATGACATTTATAGATGAATAACTTGTCAAATGAACAAATTGTTTGTACATATGCGAGATGAACTTGTCAAGTGAACGTTTATTGTCAAAAGCCGTTTCTTTTTCTTTCCATCAGAATATATGAGATGGGATGTAATAAAATCGAGACTGATGGGTATCGTTTTAATGATTAAAAATAAATGTTGATTCACAATGTGTTATGTATAATACACTATATGTATTTAGTTGCATTGAGTAAAAAACATTAAATCTCTGAAGGTATAAATGATTTTTATATGTTATAACAGTAATATGGAGAAATTATTTAGAGTTTATGAACTAGAATAGATATTCTTTTGCTTCTTGTAGACTGTCCCATGAAATATGGTGTACCGAGGAAAAAGGAATGATGACAGTAGAAGTAATAAGCAGTGAGATTATATATTAGTCAAAAATATCGATGATTCGAATTTTTTTATTAGACTGCACACTTCATAAGTATATTGCTTTTCATACTGTAGCATTACTACTTTTGTTCTACTTTGGAGATAAAATGCCTGAGAGTAATAAAGTTTTTTAAAACACTAATAATATCGTAACTTTTACTTAATTAGCGTCGTACTATAGGATAAACAGAGGCATTGTTTGAATTGTGATCTTACTTACACTTACATATATGATATTATTGGATTGAAGTAGCATAATGTAAAAACGATTTTTGAGACACTTTTCCACATCCTACTTTTCAGTATACTAAAGTATCTACCAAAACGGTTTTTAAAAATCTGCGGTTATTCCTCCTTATTGGCTTTTTGCTATATTCGTAATGTCAACCAATTGAAGTACGTTTTTCGAATTTGTTGATTTGAAAAGCAGAGATCTTCTTACACATATACAGTATAGAAATCCATAATAATAAAAAATACAGTAAAAAACACATATTTATTGAAGAGAGCCGTAATTGAAGATGCCTGCATCTGCCGTTTGATAATTGCTGATTGCTAAGAAATTTTAATTATTTTAAACGTCATCTTCACGTGTATTAATATCATTATTATCGGGTAATAGTGTCGTTGTTTTTGCTCTTTTTTCCTCAGCCAATTTTTCAACGGTAATCAATCTCATACCTAATGTATTATTATTAACCGTATATTCCCCCATCAACCGTGCTAGACGCGTTTCTAAATTATCAATATTTGTTTCTAATTGACCAACTTTATCTGGCATTTGAAGTTCTTCTTGTTTGGCTTGCTGTGCTGCAGCTTCATCCAATAAATTATCTTTTCTTAGTAAAGCTTTACCTTGTTCAAGTAATGTATCTCGAGCTGATGGATATTCAGCCAATACTTCCCATAAATCTAGAGAAAGTGACTTGAAATCTTGCCAAAAAAATAGTTATGAAAAACGGTTTACCTTGCTTTGTCAACGAAAATAAATCAGAATATCCGACACTTCGAATATTTGCTGTTCTTCTATTTCCATTTTTACTTCCTAAATATAGAACAATTTATTTAAAAAAAAGTTTATAATATCCATATGATATACAAGACTTTTTACCGGGTATATTTAGAATAGCTATTTCACCAAATACACTTCCTTCATCTAATGTAACAAATACAGTTTTCCCATCATCAGAAACAACACTTAAACGACCACGTTTGATAATATACATTTCTTTACCAATATCACCTGAACGACAGTAGTAAATTAAGATGAGAAGAAAATCAAAAATGAATATAAAAATTTCTACCTTTTTTACACACATAATCATAGGGACTGTATATTTGCAATTTTAAACGTGTCACCAATTCGACTAATAGACCCGGTTCTGCATTAGAAAAAATTGGTACACGTTTTAATGTAGCTAAATGTACATGAATTGCTATTTCAACACGAAGTTTTTGTGGAAGACTTCCAAGTATATAATCTTCATTAGCCGTTTGCTTTTGTAACCATAAATAGTCAAACCACGTAATAACACGTCTTTCAAGATCTTTTCCAACTTTTCGAAATTCCATATATTGTTTAACTTGATCAACTTTTTGTCGAAAATCGGCTCTTACAGCATTCATACTAGCAATTATACTACCAACATTTCCAACGACTAGATAATAGAAATAAAAACTTTATATTCACTCCTATGACCATAATAGTTAAAAAAAACTTCATATTAAGTTAGTAGAATAGTGTCAAATTATGTTCTGATAATTTAATAAGATTTTATTTTGACTTACTTGTTGCAAATATTAAAACGCCGACTAGAAAATCGGCTGTGACAAAAAGTACTTCAATATCAGTTTCGGGCGGTGGTACTTCACCAATATTTGTTAATACAAGTGTTGACCAAAAAAAACAGTATAAATATTGTGTTCTTAATGTTGAACCTGTCACTGTTGTCATATTATATACCCATCCATCTGACGAATAACCAATCCATCGACTAATTATAAAATAGAAACAAGCATTCCAATGTATAATAATAAGAATAATAATTAATAACGATACAAGTCGAAATATATTTGGATGATTTGTTTGTGTTTCAACTTTATCTGAAAATTCAAATACACGATACATACGAAATAAACGATTTGCTCTCAAAAATGAGGTCAAATGTAAACTGGGTATAAAATAAAAGAAATCAGTTGGTATTAATGATATAATATCGAGAATAAATGAACGACTTTTAATATAATGACGACGAAGTTTTTTCAAATCCCGAACTAATAAACCTTGCTCCAAATAACCTAAGATAAACGAATAAGAAAAAATTAATTATTTGATTTAAAAACTATTTTATCTATTATTTACCTTTTCTCGTTTGCAGAATAGTATCGGCAATATAACAAAAGTCACATAAATAATCAAGTATTAACCACACTATCAATAGTTTACTTTGTAATAGTAAAAATGCAGTTCTACCAATTAATAAAATAAAATTATAAATAACAGCTAATGAAACAACCGCTGACCAATAGTAATAAAAATTTTTAGATGGATCGACAACCCATTTTTTACTGAAATAGGAAAATATGTGATACATTCATTATATTGTGTTAAATCTCTAAACGAAACAAACCTATTTTGATCTTCAAGTAATACTTCACGAGCAGCCGGTGCAAATTTTTCGAGAAAAGAATCACTTGGCTGTGGACTTATTTGTTGTTGACGTCGTTTCACCCATTTATGTAAACGCTAAATTAAACCAAACATAAAATTAAATAATTTTTCTGTAAATTTAATAATAATTCAAACTATGGAAAGGAAATACTATTCAAACATCTGATTTCGCTTACTACAAAAAGGTTAAGATACACTAATATACTACAAAATGTGGGTTGAAAACTGAACATACACAAAGATCTGTGAATACTATACACTAATGATCTAACGTCACGAGCTTTAGAATCTCATATCAAGGGTTTTGGACATTGACAAATATTAGTGATTAGATTTGTGCTCAAATTTATATTAATAAATCACATGATTCGCATACCACTAAGAAAAAACAGGTAAAACTGGAATAGGCGTACATGGGTTAATAAGATAACATTCATATAAATCAGATGATAAAAATTCTGATTAGTACAACATGTAACTTGATACTTTATTATACTTACGCTAATAAACCTCATAACAATCTAAAATGCAGTTTTTAAAAAGTGTAATGTTCTTTGATGACGGAAGATATCTTCTCTCATAGTTTATTGGATATTAAAAATGTAATTTATTTTTTCTTATATACCTGAGCAGTTCGTACAACATTTGCTAACGAATCCGCTTCTCTTCCTTCTATGTCTGGCTGTTGTAATGGTGTATCAGCAATTGTTTGTATTCCATTTTCAAGTGGCTTACGAGCAGAATAAGCAATAGTTGAACGACTATTCATCATGTAAATAATTTCGTTGATATTCTATGGAAGACGTAAATTCGTTCAATGACTCAATTAATGCTATAAATAGAAACAAAATGAGCAAGTACGTCTACTTAATCCTATCAAAAACACTTTGAAATCAATATTATCTCTTCACAATATTTGTTCAAATCGTCCATTTAGCTAATTTATCCGGACAGATATACATGACTTACGTATATGGTGATTATAAAGACAACAGTGATATAAGTCATTTCCTACTACTCAATACATACTCTGAAGAGTGATTAACATTTTATTTTTGAAAAAAATGAGTTATATGACATCTATGCCAACAGTAGGCCGTTTGTCACTCATACAGGTCCGTTATGAATCGTTGACAAATACATTAAAAATTATTTTAGAAAAAAAATGTATTGCTTTTCAAGGATCTTCTACAATACACAGAAAGACAAAGGAAAAACAAAAACGTTTAGCTAAAATACGACAAAGCGATACCAATTATCAAGACACGATCCTTCAGTCCAGAAACTAATAAAAGTATGTCTCAAGATGGCAATATTTTAATTCAAGAAGTTTTATTACACATATATATGTTAGCTTTCTCCTGACTTAAAAATTCCATTTACAAGCTGCATGAAATATGACTAACTTTCAACTTGTCTTCATTCTGCTGCTGTTGAAGGGACACATTCTGATGCGCCAGTTTCTAGAGAACATCGTGATATCCATGCAGAAAAATATTCGAATAAGTTTTCTCAATAGTTTCCTCAAAAGAGTTCCCTATAAAACTGTTACTACAATAAAAGTCGAAAAGTTTAGGTTTTTCCATAAAGTAGAAAGTGAAAGTTTTATAAGTCTATCCGACTTTAGAGACGTTTCTTGAATCTAAAAATACAGTGTACACTTTCCAACTCATATAGGGTGCCTCTACTCATAAAGAAACTATGTGTCCTTGGGAAAACTTATTACAGAGGCAGCCCATATTTCTTGAAAGAATTAGGTAAAGTTCATAAAGTCTAGACTACTTGCATTGATTTATCAACAAACTCGCATGACAATAAACTATGAACAATTCAAGAACAGATGGAACATGAGATAATAACATGATGCAGAAGGATCTGCATGAAATACCTGCAGTTGAAAAAGAGAGAAACGAAAAAGAAAAAGACTAGATTGTCACAATATGAATTAGACCTGCTTGAGAAAATACCTTTTTTCCATTTCTCTCAGCATCACTTTTTACTAACGTTTCCATGTCAAATAATACTTTAGAGTTAATACACAGAGAGATAGGATTCTCTGATTCATCAGTTCCTCTGCGTTTTTTTGAAACAAATTTTTCTAAAGTCATACTCTGTTCATCGTGTGAAGAAACAAGAAAGAAAAAGCGCAGGTTAGTAGTTCTAACAGAACAACATAGTCTAGTGAGAAAGTAGAAAAAACGATGTTTTTCACATAAAAATTATTTTTATTGTATTTTACAAAATTATTATTGGCGTAGGTACAGGGTGATCCAAAAAACACTTACCCCCTGTGTATTATTGACTTTCTTGTGTACAAATATAATTGAACTTTTTATCATTAGTTTATTCAAATAGAGCAAAGATTTCTGGACAAAATGAGACGTCTCCGAGCTCTCTAAGAACTTTTCTCATAAAACAGCATTGAATTTACGGAAGGTCCCAAGAGCATATTTGTCTTGTTTGCGCATTAATTGTCCCAATTTTGGTGGTATGGAACCTTCCGTAAATTGAATGCTGTTTCATGAGAAAAGCTCTTTGAGAGCTCGGAGACGTCTCGTTTCGTCCAGAAATCTTTGCTTTATTCGAATAAACTAATGGTAAAAAGTTCAATTATATCTGTATACAAGAAAGTCAATAAATACATAGGGGGTAAGTTTTTTTTTGGATCACCCTGTAATTGTTGATGCTAATCGTAATTCTGATTATTTTTTTCGTCATTTGGTAGATCTTCATAAATAAGATCCTTTTGGTGCCCATCACAAACTATCATTCTGATACGTCGTGATATCCCATGTAATCGTTTGCGTTCGAAAAAATGCGTTTGAACGCTGTTTTGGGCGTTTAAATCTACGTTTAAAGGTGTTTAAACGCCGAAGATATTTAATACTCTGAACGCGTTTTAAGGCGTTTCGATTTGATTTAGACGTTTGAACGCTGTTTTGAAAAAGGTTACAACAGCGTCTGAAAGCGTTCCTATTATTAAACGTCTCGGCACGCTGTAGATATCTGGTACTCCGAACGTATTCGAGGCGTCTTAATTTGAACAGACGCCTGAACGCAGTTTTGAAAAAGGTTCAGACACCGTTCAAAACCGTTTATATTATTGAACAGGCTGCATTTTTATTTTACTACTAACTCTCTCTAAATAAATGAATACCTTACTTTTGAGACATACAAAAGCATAAGTCTTCAACTAAATGTTAAAAAAGTCTCATTTAAAATTTGGATGTAACTTAATTCATGTGTTCATCTGTTTATGAAGAGTTAACATTAAAATAAAATGCTACTGTACGGCTAATTTCTTGATCATAATCGCAGTACTGAAGGAAAGAAAAGCCCCTAGTGAATGTACTTGAATTCGTATAATAAATAAAAGAAAATGACGTACTTCTTTCGTTATAGTCGTCAGAGAATTTCTCTTCTTTCTTTGGTTTCTAAACTCTTTCGGCCCATACTACACAATATGACAGAAAGATATATCAATCTTTGTCGAGCACCAATAGCTCAATGGTGCGTGTCTCGCTCTCTATTCTTTAGGTCTCATGTTCGAACGCGTTGGTATAGAAGCGAAACAAAAGGCGTTTGAACGGTGCAAATGTTTCATTTTTAAGCCGTTTAAACGCGTTTGGATTGCGTTTATAAACGCCGTTCGTAAACGCGTTTTTTAGAGTCGAAATTGTTACATGGATACTGCCAGTTTCTAGCGCACATCGTGATATCCATGTAGAAAAATATTCGGATAAGTTCCCTAAGGCTTATAAAACTGTTACTAGAATAAAAGCCGAAAAGTTCAGGTTTTTTCTTTTTTAAACTTTAACTCTCATCCCTCCAGTCCAATGGCCCCCATTGCATCTGTGCACAAAGGTACCGAGACAATGAGCATCAGATAGCTTGTCCAAGACCATCACGCGACCGCCGTTGCCGGGATTCGAACTCTGTATGCTTGAAGTACGTTGTCTACTTACTAGCCGACTGAGTAACACTGCTCAAAGCGTGACTTTTCCCATAAAGTAGAAAGTGAAAGTTTTATAACTCTAAGGACAACATCAGGATGTGTTAGGTTGTTGGTTTTGGGTGGGTGTCCAGAAAATAAGAACGTAACAGTTTTACTGAAAATCAGTCTCATGTTTCACAAACGTTTGACATTAACTATACAAGTCTCATGAATTTTTTTTTTGCTTTCAACGAACCTTTGTGCTCTACTATATGTGAAAAACATCGTTTTTTCTATTTTCTCACTAGACT